TTAAAAGCATATATATATATATATATATATATATATATGTTAATTATGCTTTATTCAGAAATTATATATATATATATATTACTATTTCTTTAAAAGTAACTTTATTCATTCCTTGTCCTGCAATGCAGCACATAGGCAGCATTTTGCTATTGATGTCCTTGTTATACTTTCTTTTTTAAATTTGTTAAGTTTAATTGTTAAGTTAATTATTGTTTTTTTTCCTTATTTGCCCCACAAATCACTACAAATTGTGTAGGTTCGTGTCCGTGATTTTGGAAAATCCGAGCCATTATTTCCTCTGCATTATAATGATTAATTTCTTTGTTTATTTTTTGTTATCGCTGAGAAAGTTGCACTTTGACTATTCTTTTGCCTTCCTTTCATCGACTTTTCGTCATTTTATTTTATAATCGCCGTTGGACGGCTGACCCAATTTTTTGGGTTTACGACTACCAATGTTCATCTTCGTAGCCTTGTAATTTTGAACTCAATCCAGAAGACAAGGGAACTCTTGGTTCAACTATTGGGAGAAATTTGCCTACGTGGCGGACTTTTTAATGGAACTAACCCGCATTTACGTTGCATGGAGAGGGAAACCACGATGACCTCCCACGGTTAGCCAGACGGCATAGGGACTCTGACCTATGATGCGCCTGCAGCTGAGAGTATTTTACGTCAGCTCTGTGGTCGGTGCAAGCTAGATGCGTAATTCATATCGACCAGCCATTTCTGGGATTCGAACTCGGTTCGCCTCACTGGGAGGCGAGCACTCTATCCCTTGAGCCACTATGACTCACTAGAAGATTTTGAAAACAAATTAGATTTCATCAAATAAATTTGTATTTATCCTTTTAAAAATATTATACAAAAAAGAAAAGAAAAGGAGCTCGTTTCGCTCACAAACCCTCGCGCTTGCTACAATAACTTTTTTTTTTTTTTGCATCTTTCAACAAAAATTGTATTGCATTTAAATTAAAAGCAATTCTATTGAAGGATCTCAAAAGGTTTTATTATGTTAGCACAGATTTGGTTTCACGAATTATGTTCCGGATTCAATTGGAGTGAAATTTAAATTTAATTTAAGTTTTACCTGATTTTGAGAAAAATTTAAACCGAGTTTAGGTGTTATTTCAATTTTTTTTCAATTTTAAGTTTAAACCTAAAAATTGAAATCTCTTAGATTACCATATCACCTACGATTTTGTTTTTTGCTTCTGTTTTTTTGATTTTTAATACCTATATTTAATTTTTGGTTATTATAAAAGGCAACTGTTTTTCTCCAAAGAAAAGATTATTCCTAATAATGTTTCACAAATTTGTATTCATTATTTAAATTTCATATTTCATAATTGAATACATCTTTAACACATATCTTAGAATAAAAGTAAATATAACTTATTTACAGTTCAATAATTGTAAAATCGTTTATAAGTTTAGATACCAATTGAAGTGTGTTTATCATTAAATAATGTGTAATAAGGAAAAACCATTGTTTTTTTTATAATAAAAATCCACTAGTTCTAGTTTTAAGCCTTCAATTGGAATCATTAATAAAAATTAAAACTGCAGTAATTGATGAGGATACCAGGAAAGGTTGATAAAAAAATATCAAAATTAAAGATAAAGAATAATTTATGGATAAAGAAATATTCATATATAAATAAAACTTTTATAATTTTTATTATTTTTTTACTGATGATAACCAAAGATGATGGATCTTTACGTGAGAAAACTGGATGATACTACTGATTTATAAATCCAATGACCATCCATTTTCACCTGATTATAGAGTTCAGATATATATTAATAAATATATGTATCTATAATAATATTTAGTAAACAAATATAAGTGATATACCAAATATATAAACGCATATAAAACAAAAAGTCATCAAATAAAAAATATCTGATGCAATTTTCCTTAATGGTAGAGACATCTTTAAATGGATGGACCCTGAATAGAAATTCATGACACTGGCCTAATTGAAACTCTGTAATGAATTAATTATGAAACTAATTTCTTTCTTGCTACACCGAATTTCAAAATTACATTTTTTCACACCCGTATTAAATTTTTTCTCTTTGATAAAGCAAACATCAGCAGTTCAATGATTTTCATTCACTTGTTTTGAAATTATTTCAGTAAAACCTTGATGATTATATATTTTTTTATTGCATTTCCTTTTATTTTTAGGCAAAATAATTAAAATTATTTGAATTATTTAACCTTAAGCTAAATACAATATTATAAAAATTTTATTCGAGTGATTTTAATATTTGTTCTTTTTGACGTTCAAATATTTTTGATCGTATGCAATTTTTTACGATGATTTTAGATAAAAATTATTGAACCTACGCAGATTTTTTTAAATTTTCGTTTACATAAGGTCTGTTACGAATGTTGCTTGAAATGCTTTTAAAAATATAATTTTACATGATTAAAATTAATAAATAAATAAATTCAAATTTTCATAATATTTTATAAAATGTAAGTTAATCAACTATAAAACTTAAAATCCATTCATCTAACTTTTGTTCTAGATTTTATTTATGACTATAAATCTGATGAAATTGACATCATTAAGAAAATTGCAGTTCAAAGAAAATTTTTTAATTGCATGCAATCAATATAAAAATGCAGCTAATGCAGTATTGCAATATTAAAATGCAGTTCAAGGGACATTTTTTAATTACTTTCAATTAAAAACTGTTCCTTGAATTGCATTTTTTAAAGATTTCAAATCCATCAGTCTTTTAATTTGAAATAAATTTTTTAATTGTATGTAGTTAAAAAATGCTTTAATAAAGACCACCGCAGTTTTTTTTACATTCTTTATTAAATTTGGCCTTATACAAGATTATACTTCAGGCTGAAGCAAAAAAAAAATGATTAATAACAATACAAATGAACTAGAAGATAGATTATACTAGAAATGAACTAGATGAATCAACATGAATATCCATAAACATAAATGATTAAGAATAGCTTCCGAAGAAATTTATATTTTTTCGTTATATTTTTCTTTTGAGTATATTTCCAGATTGATAATAAATTAGTTATGATTCATATTATGATTCATATTATTGCTTTTAAAATACCCCTTATTAAATGGATTGATAAGATTTATGGGACATAAGATTTTAGGACATAAGATTTATTGAAGATAAATTGAACAGATAATTTGTGCATACTCAATGGGGAGTGCAATTAGTCAAGTTCAAAAGACAGCGAAGATGAATCATGTGACATCTTCGAATCCGGAGCAAAATATTATTTATGAATTAAATAGTGTTAATTTTTACAATACAGGTGTGGCGTTCTACTTAATAAAAGAAATTTTTTTCCCAAAATATGATTTTTTGAAACCTGTCTTTATATTTAGTTTAAATCAATCATTTATTTTCACTCTTTTATGAAATTATCTAGAATTTTAAAGAAAATCGAATTTTTTCTAATAACAATATATTGAATACATTGTGAAGAGGATATGGCTTTCCAAAAAATTTGCATCAATATTTCTCATCGTGAATTTCAAATAAAAAAAACTATATTCGTTAATGAAGAAATATATTTCTCTGGTAAACATTTTCTAAGTTTGTAAGTTCTTTTTTGTTTCCATTTCAAAGAAAACCATAATTCGTTTATTTCATTCCCTTTCAGATAATGTACCAAATTCAAATTTAGAACTAGATAATATGATTTTCCATGCCAGTTAATTCAACTGTTAGACTTAATTCCCAATTTTAAAATTATTAACGATAGAACAATGAAGAAATTCATCATTTTAACTAACTATTTTGAAAATAATTACTAGTTTTTTAATAGTTAATACATTTACAAATGATTTAATATACTGTATAAATAAAATCGGGGTTATGACGAAACAATATGGATTATTTGGGGTTCCATAGTTAAAAAAAGTGGGAATCGCTGGGTTGCTGGCTTATAGGTTGGGAACCCTTATATTACTATGGTCCTTTTTCTGAAAACGTCCTCAGTATTTTAAATAAATGTTTGTTTTTTTAAACTATTAAATATGTTAAAAAATTGACTGATCTTTCAACCAAAGATTTTAGATTTTTGTATTAAAATAAAAATAAAAAAAAATTCTAGTCGTAGTCAAGTTGTTTTAGTTAATTTATTTCAAATTTAAAAATTTTAACTAAATAGAGGAGAGTCGCTCCCGCCCACTGTCAATTTCATATGTATAGAATATTTTTTCAAGTCAATGGGCCATCGGACATTAATTAGACTGAACTGTTCCTTTTT